GTCTCCACAGATTGTTACTTTCTGAAGAAAAATATGGAATATAAATTGATAAAAAGATCTGCATGAAATCACGAAGAAAGTTCCACAGGTGGAAATTTGGATTCTTTACGTAATTTCAAATCCACGGTTTTGGCATTTGTCTGCTTCTCGTCACTTTTGCTTATCCTTACCAAATGACTCCGGATGAATAGACAATACTGAAGTAAAGCTTATCTGACCCCTGCCAAACTACTTAAAGACCCTTTAAGGGGGTTTGGGGCGACAGCATTTCCTGCGATGACAAACAATGAGCAGGCAAGGGTCTTGTGTTCGTGTAAGAGAATACCCCGTTGAGCTTATGGCGAGCCAACAATGTGTTTTTAAGAGCTGACTGAGCTAACTTTGATTGAGATTTAATTGGAATTCTTTGTCCTTGAGTACAGTACCGTTTCTAAAGAGGAATCCCATCGGTTGTATGAATTCTAACATGTAGATTATTGCGGACACACTTATAATCCGGGTGGGAAAATTGAAACAGGTCTTCTATTCTTGAGGCCTGTACTGCTTGCTTTGACTTTCGTTTAAGTAAACAGAAAAACTGCGGTATTTTGGAAATGGCTATGTGTCTGCCTTGTTGCTTTCAATTTTTTTCAGTTTGGATTCTTATCTCACCCGCGACGAGTCTAAACTCGTTTCTTAAACGTGATTTGTGCGAAATAAAGCGCCTTATTGCTCCTGCTATTTCCACTGATAGTAAACCTGGCCTGATCTTCTTACAGAATGCTTCGTTCTTCCGCTTTATGTCTGAGAATTGTCTTTACAGTTTACCAAGTGAGAGCAAATGTAACTAAAAACTACTTGATTCTGGCAGCAGTTGTACTTTGTACATAATTAAGAGCCGAATTGTTATGAAGAGTTTTTGACGATAGCGTGGTATGATGCCAAGTAGCTTTGAAGGGGATTATCTCTTTCTGACAGCTAGAAATAATATCTTTGTGCAGGACTGTCCATCTTCATCTGCCTAAGCAGAATACTAAACTTCAGTGAAAATGTGACGTGTTACTCAACTCGTACTCCGCTACGAATCAAACCGGTACTGAAACAGTTTTCGCCAGTTCAACTGTAAGTCCTGTAAGTCAAGGTATATCATCGTTTCCTCCTAGTTAAGTCAGTCTGAAACCTTTCAAAATCTAACCGCAACCTTTTTTTTAGTGTTTCCGTTTTCGCTTTCCTGCTTATTCAAGTTATCTATTGAGTAACAGAAATGTTTGATCATCCAAGTGAATTCAGTTGTGAAATCATTCATACAAGAGCTTTCACCAATATTGTAGGCCTCCTATACCTGACATGGCACGACGCGGAATAGTCATCCTTGAGCGACGAAACAATAGAAACACCCCTAAAGGAAATACAAAAAGCAGGTCCAAATCGGGGCAATTGTAATGCTTTAGCAGAGTAGGTCGAACATTGAGACATTTCAAGCAGTTTTCGCATGTAGTTGGGGTTTCGCAAACTCGCAAGTCATCAGTGTATTCTCTGACTTGTCTGTGGTTCTTTTAAAATGTTATCGCTTTGTCAATAATTGACCTAGTGTACTGAAACTTTGTAGTTGTACTGATTTGGACAAGTCCTTCGCATTACTGGGAGTATTGTTCTAGTTGCTGAGCGTTTTGGGGTACATTATCGTCATGGCATCATTTTACAGGGGTCGAATCTACATTACGTTTCCCACAATATTATATCGCTGGTGTAATTATGCCCGCGGCCACGGGAAAGACAGGCGCCTCTTTCCTTGATTTGAGAGGCATAATTCAATAAGCGTGACACAAGGACCCAAGGACCTTGATAGTGTTTGAAGTTCCTTCTAGAAGTGCGTGGCAGGTGTGATGTTAACGTTTGTTTGTTCATATCAGTATTCACTTTACCCTCTTATTCATCGCGACTTGAAAACAAGAAAAAAAACAACAACCATACGATTAAAGCCGCATGAATAAAAACTGAGTTTTGTCGTTCAGTGATATTGTGCTTTTATTACCAGTAGAACAACAACACATTAATCTACATGCATACGCTTTAATTATGCTTTTTATTCCCGTTGCCTCGATTTCCATGGAGGCAGTGCTCTGTGTTGGCGTACACCTTACTCAGTAATTCTTTTAATAGACTGGTGCCGAGAATCTTTACGTGAACATAACTGCGGCTTTCTGAAAAGAATTTCTTTATACAATGATGGCAACATTTAATGAGCCAGTCGCCAAATTACTACTCTGAGTAGTTTGAATTTGTCATAGCAGACGTCAGGCTATTAGTTTTCCATTGGCAGTCTATGTGTGAGCCGGATTCTATATACTAGTAAATCCAACTTATTTTCTTCTTTTAAAAGGTACCTTGCAATAACTTGAATACAAGACTGTCGATGTATACAAATAGTTTAAGAGGTACAATTCTGTGAGACTGTTCCTCCTTTGAAACGACTGGCATACAACTATGCTTTGATTTGCCTTTTGGGGGACCCTATAGTAAGAACTGGTGTTGGAGATGAGATCCAAAATTCAATCTCAGTCTTTATGTTGTTGAGAAATGAAGCACCACAAAGTGCATCACTGCTTAATTATTCGCGATGATTTCCTTCCCTTGAAAACTCTCATTATGTTCAGAAACATTTATTTCTCATTGCCTTGGAATCTGGCAGGCAGAGAGTCTATCTTTCTCACCCAGCCGTGTTGTTTACTTCGAAATCGCGTGACGATCAGAACGGTAGCGTGCACTGAACTCTTTGCGAAGCCGATATATACAGTCTCCTCTGTATCACTTAACTGAATACGAATCGTTAAGTTGTTTACTAGACAGTGAGCAGTGTTTCCGTGACTTGCCTGTGTCTTCATTCGTGCAGTTGAGTGTGATTTGAACGGAGAACAGTGGGACAAAAATGGGCGCGTGCGGGGTCTCGTGCGCAGAGTTGTAAACGTCTAATATATGCTGTATGCTATGACCTAAGTGATTTGAGTGTTCTTTTGGTATTTCATCACCTTCTACTTGTTTATCAGCCAGCCCGGCGCTAATCAGAGTCGTCTCTGTTGGTAGAAATACCCTCTTTCCCTCTTTCATGTTTGACAAAAGCTTCGTGTCTTTCATGAAATCCGTCGGGCGTCTTTACTGTGCGTTATTTCTCATGAGCTATTCAGTCATATCTTGAAATTGGTACTATCGAAAAGAAAAATGCAATTCACACAAGCATTGTTGGGTAACCAATTAAAAAGAAACACTGCCGTTGTGGGGTGTTATAGTTGTAGAAAGTTAGTTCTAAATTGATCTAAGACTATCAGACCCTAACTGAAACTGTTATTCATTTATTATACATTTTTTACATTTACATTTTTTAAAATACTAAGTTTTAAAGGTTATGGTGCTGTTCTGTTTCAAACAACGTTTGAACAGTGACGGGACTTGGTAATTAAGTGGAATTTAGGGATCTCATATATTTAATTTTAGTTCTATTAACAAAACAAATGTTACCTTTAATTTTATTCCAAGCAGTTCTAGTCCTTATTAGTTCCTTAGTTTGATCGAGGTCTGTGAATTTAACTACTTTCTATTGCTTGGTAATTCAACTGTAACAATTTAGAAATAGACCTAAATCTGTGATGCTTAACCTAAAGAAAGGAGCAATGACAAATACTAGACGTAATCGCTAATACTGTGTGTGCGAATTACCCAGTTCAGTTAAGGTCAGGTTTTTGTCAGTTTCCACAATAGTTTGATAAAACAAGACCATCTTTTTAGATTTTGGCGAAAACTAGGTGCAAACATGCTGCATCCTAACTTATAATTGTGCACTTTATAGGCACTTTTTCAACATCGGAATGTTTCAGTGTGGCAAAAATTATCTGGATTATGGGAGCGACAGGATTTGAATGGGAAAGGTTTTTTTTTTTAATCTTCTTATAATTCAAATTCTTGTTATTACAGCTAATGCACCCTACACGATTCATCCTCTCGACCATTGTTTTCACAACATGGTGTCTCACGCCTTCGACTAGAAAAATGCCATACATTCAGCAGTGTCGACCGAGCACAAGGTCATATGATGGGATATTGGCCAAGTTCTATTTCAGCGCGTGTTATTGACTGAGACGAAGTTCTATGTTAAGAAACACGCAAAGAGAGAACGAGGTCAACATCAGCCACGCCATCTTGACTAAGAAAACTTGGCCAAGTAGATGATTTCGTGTTATAGTTAAAAGAGCCAACTACGATAACAAAAATGTTGTCTCGATGCTACGCCAAAAATGTTGCGGGGTTTATCGATGCTCAGTAGAAAAAAAATTGAAGGACAGCCCACCATACTTAGATAGATTCCCAATAATAAAACAGAAGGTGGTAAAGGGGCCCCTAGAGAGACAACTCCACATACATTTGTTCAATTTCGTAAAAAAGGTCCAACTCGGAGCCGTTTTTAAGTATGCTCAGACGTCGACAAGTGTTTTTTTTTAATCAGCAATTCTTTAATTAATAAATGAGGATCTAGCAAAAGCTTCGCAAATGATACGAATGCGATGCTCTTGTGTGGGAAACTTTATTGTTGTCAGTACAGTAGAAGACTGAGGTGTAAATACTCCGCATTTGTTCAACTGCCAGGACACCTCGACTTCAAAATTTATCTACCAGAAATGACTGAGTCCTCGTATTAAATACAAGGAATAATGATAGCAATAAAAAAATGTTTGTATACTCCACGAGCAACATGTGCGGAACAGCCTAACTCGCCAATTTACCCGCCGCTTAGCAGAATAGACCTTCTTCCATCGCTTTAATACCGCTCCGTTAGCCAATCAAATCAGAGGATTTCATTCCCCGGCCGGGCGACAGACAAGCGGATAATAGCAGTTATTTTATGGCCGTCACTCCCCGAGGGAAGGAACGTTCGGAATCTGTGCTTGCGATCTTGAACATGATTTCCCTTATAACCATCCTCTTAATTCTTAATTTTACCCTTGACGATATGTGCGGATTTAAAAAGGAAAATTAGCAGAGGGAAAGTGGAGAACTGTAGATGTACATGTAACGCGATTCATCAATGAAACGGTACTTCAATTCTGCACTTTGTACGAAACGTCCCATTGCCTGTTTCACTGACCTTTTCAATTGACTTTAGAAGGGACTAAATAATCCTACAAACCAAACTTGGTCGACAAAATAGAAATGTCCAGAAAAGCGTTCGTTCTTGAATTTCACGAAACTCAATCCGTTCTTAATAGTTTGGTCTTGTACAAAAAAGGACAATGACTAGGCAGAATTTGTAATACAATAATGGCCTTGGTTGAATGGCATGTTCTGGAATTTTGATCCAATTTTGACAAAGTTAACATGCTTTGTTGTAGAAGCGCTCGCTTGGGAAACTTTGTACGTATTCAGCTATAAGTACGCGGTGGTTGATTTGTCCCAAAACGTCCAGGGCATATCTTACTTGCTTTATAGCTATGTAGTTGTTTGGCTTTGCTTGTGCGTCATAGTATTTTCGATTTAAATAATTTGTAGTCCCTTTTCTATATCTACTAGAAATTTCTCCAGCGGATTAATCACCAGCTTGGTAGTTTGGAAATTTGTCAAGGAGCCCCTGAGAAACTCTCCCAGCAAATGATTTATTGGCGATAGATTTTCAACAGCTTAACATGACTGTCTTTATGAGAACTGCTTATATCGCCTTAAATTAATTACAGCTTTGTTTTTTTTTCTACGCCGCTGTCAACGTTTTGGTCTGTTTCTCAGCATGTTTATCACGTGAAACTGTTTTCGTACTTGAGACTTTTTGCCGTTGTCAAAAGCTTATCTGAATTCTACTGAAAAGACGTAAGACGTAATTTTTGCTTTGTTTACATGTGTCTTGTGGTTCATCTAATCGCTTGTGGATTCTAGAAAACGCGGATGATGATAAGATCCTCGGTTATCTTTGTTGACAGTGTTAAACGCTGAATATTTACTCTGGCCAAACACGAGGATCACTCACATGTTACTCTTGTCAGTCTTTCAATGGAATTTGACTGTCTAACGTTTGGCTTTATACCGATGTCATGGTTATTAGCATTGAAATACTTTACACCCGCCCTGGAGCTTTATATTTTGGTGAAGCTTGAGACATTGTTAATTTTGTAATGTTACACAGACCAGTGGCTACTTCGATACCGAGAGAATTTCCAATTGTCATTGAATATATTTGGAGAGGTAGCATCCAGCTAGGCCAAAGTTTTACAAAATTACCAAGAATGTTTAAATAAAACAATTGTAGTTCAACGAAGAAACCTTTACCTCACGTGGGCGGAATTTATGTAAAAACACTGATCCCGTATGCTTTCGTTGAGGGAAAGGAATTGAAGAAACGAGACATCGGTTGATATTCATATTTTCAAAAGATTGCCAACCTAGCACCACTTGCTTGTATTTTCATTCGTTTGTTGTATTGATATGATTCGTTAATTGTTTTGTTATTCGCGGAGATAGTCAATCTTTATCATGGGTAAATATAGACTAATCTACAAACCAACTCCACAGACTGCTCAGAGAATATACCACCATTATGCTATACTTTGTTATCTCGCAGTCATTGTATTTACACTGTTTGATCTGAAATCTTTTGTTTGATTAGCACTTGAATAGAAGTAGTTTTCTTTTTATATAGCAGTGCCGTAAATTTCGTCTGTTAATCATTACTCAGTGTGAAAAGTTCTGAACAGAACGTACGGAATTGTCATGGTAAACTTTTTGTTGGGACGCAGTAGCCAGTAGGCGTCGCCAATGACCCGTGCATCTGACAACCCTCACGTTCAACTTGCGAACATCCTTCCTGTCGATGTCATAAAACTGCCCAAAAGATTCACAACAAATGCTCAGGGGTTAAAGATCGTGTAACACAATTGATGTTAGGCTTGTACCAACCAAGATCAAATGGGAATGAAAAAAAGAAACCCTTTCCCTTCAATAGTACTTTTTAACTGTTTACACTTAAACGCTACGTAATTTTTCACGACAATAAGAAGAAATTTGAACTTTTACCAGTGACTTCTTCTCTTTAGACTCTCCTATATTGCAACTTGCATCGTCACCCCCGATCCACTCAAAGCGTGATAATAGAGGTTCAATTCTTGATTTACCACTTAGACAAATGACGTTGTTGATAATAAAATACACACAGGAAAAGTCTTTGAGAAAGGTACCACATTAGTCAAAATTGAGCGTGAGAACGAGAACAATTTTTAATGGCATGCAGTAATGGAAGTAATAACACAGGTCGTTTCCGGAAGTAATTCATGCAACAACATAAGTCGGTTTTTCCTGTTGATATTGGAAACAAGATTTGTATCATTAGGAGGGAATTTTGATTAGAGACAACGAATGATGTGGGAAAGTTGTTACACCTGAAGAACTTTAGTGTGGCTCTTGCACGAAATGTGTTTCGCGTTAACTGAATAACAGATCTGTATAGTGACGTCTGAAATCCTTTATAAATTAACTGAGTTAGCCTCGTAAGAGTTGGGTTTTGTTTTTGTTCTGTTTTCTTATCGGGAAGTTTCATTTCTTAACAACAATAGTTTTGTTCCGAGGTCATTAAAATGATAAGGTGCAGTCGAAAATTGCGATTTCACTCTGGATACCGCACTTTAAAACCACACCATTAGACTAACCACTACGGAGAACATGCAATAGCTTTGTTTACAAGGACGTCCACTTCTTCAGAACTAAAGAAAGAATCCGATTAAGTTAAGTATCTGCCCGCAATTGAATTCCTGCAGTAATGAGCCATTTTATGAATACTTTACAATTAAAGGAAACCCCGCTCAAACTGTACACAAATGCTCAATTTTTAATTTTTTAACCATACTATTTCCAAAAGGGGTGGTAAACATTTCGTGCTTCTGTTTTTCCACACATCCTAAGGTTCCATACTACTAGTAAAGCCTATATTAGACCGGGAATCTTAAAATTGTCAACATACTGAGGTTGCGAGCTATATCTTCTTGTCTCGTGATGGTAAAATCAGAAGAGGAAAACATGTTTTCGTGACTTTTGCTGTCGCGTGTGTTTCCCGGGAGCCAGTGACGTCAACACTGTCGCCACACCGGACCTTAGTGTTGCAGTATTGGTCTCCTTAGAAGCGTTTGGCTTCTGACGTCTCCAACAGCTCGTGACAATTTCCCGGTTAAGCAATTAATCCTTTTTACAGTAGTTAAAAATCACGAATTCCATTTTCTTTATCTTGTTCATTGGTTTTGTAGGTGGGATTCAAAACAGCATCTTGATGACGTGCTTTTCTAGCGTGTCCTACGTACTCTCGAGTTGATACCGAAAACGGCCTCGATAGCCTATAACCAAAACAAAAACAAGTGTATGCTTCGCATACAACGCTTCATTTACGATGTCGTGACTAGCTGCAGGTTCCAAGCGAAATTCTTTTCATTCCTTTTCGCAAAGTATGTGTTCTTTGAATAGATTGCTATTTCGATTATTGCGATTAGTTGTTCTTAGATTATTTTGATCTCAAGGAAAACCAGCGGACCAAAAAAGATAAAAAAAAAGAAGAAATGATATTTAGTTGATGTTCTGTTTTAACGATGAGACATTTCATTAGTGGTTTCCGCAGGCACGGATCTAATACAGTTAATAAGTGAGGTTAATGCCTGTATGAAAGAGAGATAAATTTGCACTTGCATACCTTCAGCTAACGTTGTGGTAATTCATGTATTTACATTGGGACCCAAGCCACCTTACATCATCATTGCTGGCGCAGGGTCAAGCGTCATTTTCATGCTTTGATCGTTGTAGAATCATTCTTCAGTACGTGAAAACGTAGTTCTTCGCAAATTGGTCGGTCGAGTAATCTAGAGACACTATTAACCAATAAACTAGAAAACAAGCTATATCTGTTTGTTTACTTTTATTTTTATCGAAGTCCAGTGCCAGAGAGGTAGAACAAAGAACAGTGAGAGGGCACAAATAATGTCTTTTTAATGATGCTCTCTTCCGGCTATCCCTCCCCTCTGTGCCGAATTAGTAGTAATGTCTCGTGTGTTGAAAATTGGTGTGAGACAAAACTTTCTTAGTCCCTCTGACCTTGAATGGGTCCATTGCTTAATTATTCCACCACGGTACAAATTGGTAAGTCCAAATCTAACGGCACAAGATGGGGCTGGCACACATTGACGCAAAGGAGGGAAAAAGGCTTCTCCCATATGTTTAAATTTTCCTAAAGTATAAACATCTCTTACAATATTGTTAGCCTCATTGCTCAAAAACTCTATCAAAAGCAGAAGTTACTTAAGTGGCTTCACTTATGTAGGTTTAAATCATAACGTTTTTGCAACACGACCCATAGCGTAATAAAGGTTTGTGGCACAGTTTCCGAACAGCTTGATATAACGATATATTTCTTAGGTTCTAAACAAGGCCTGATTACTTGGCGCAATTTTGAACGATCTTAACAGTTGAATTTTCAAAGGTAGTAAATCTATAAAGTTTTTTTGTTTTTTGCTTTAGTTCATCTTTCGTCAAGTTGAAAGTCTGATCTTTTCTTATCTAGTAGATCGTTGAAAACAACCTGTCTTTCTCCGCAAGTCAGCTCAGGACTATGTCTTTCCCTTTGCCATGTTCTGTTCTCTTTGGGTCTACCCTCGGGCACCCGTGCTTTCTTTGGTGCTGAACATTTACTAATTCCATTAAAAAAAAAAAATCAATTTTCTGGCACAGACGAGGCTTGAAAATGGGTTCAAAGCGATTGCCATTCTTCTATGGTAATGTGTTTCTTCCCCTTTTCTTTGCCCCACCGCCGGTTTGTCAGTTCAACGGGGTGATTACATAATGGGGTAGGACATTTCTTTTTGTGTATTCTGTTGTGGCTTTGATAATATCTGTTTATTTGTACAGTTATGAGTTATCAGAAGTTATGAATTCGGCCCGGTACTGGTAGTTAAATAAAATCAGTTCTTGTTCCGGTACAAAAAGTCGTACTAGGGTTTGTAAAGAAAAGAGTCACACTGACCCGTTTCTTTGCGCATGGTTACTGGTTTGTGAAAAATACGATAAGTACTCTCACTATTTTGTACCGGAATTAACCCTGGACCTTACAAGTGATACGGGTTACATGGGCAAATTTTTAATGTGGTATTACATTCAGTTTTTTACCATAATGGAGATACCACCGGTAGGTAACGTTCCGATGTAGACTTCTGTCTTCAAACTTGGTCGATATAGTTTCAAAAGTGACATCACCGAGACTTAATTAGGGTACATAGAAATTTGTTAGAACATTGTTTAATTTGGAGCAAACGAAGGTGTCCGATAATGTAGTGTTAATCTTCGTTTGCAAGATCGTTGACTAGCATCTTTTCCTTTAGTCGTTAAGTAGCTCTTGACCTCACTTTGAATCAAATCATAATCTTCCGTGCATCCCGAATCAAGCAATATCAAACACGCTTCGTGAAATAGAGTACGTGTACATTGTAGAAATGTAGTGTTTCGTATTACGCATATACAAGAAGACGTTCTTCAGCAGAACAAGATTTTAATTGTTTGAAACTTGAGCTTTCGAATTTTCATGAAGAGTACCGTTGTGTGGTTAATATCATAATGGGTCGTAATATTCTGGACGTGTGATTAACACTGATTTGCGTGCTTCAAGAAGCGAAGCTAACAACAATCATAACAAACGACTGCACGCAATCAAAACGGGGGATATTCAATATAGCCTTCGTGGCGTGACTTAGTAAAATTTTTTTTCATTTCAGTAGTCTGTTCTATAAAAAGCGTTCTCCCTAAATAACTCTCATGTCGCCAGAGTTTGGGCGGGAAGTGATATTTTAGTAACTGCCCGATGTTTTGATTTGGCATTTATAAAAAGAACCTCTTAGGCAATGACGAAGTCTTGTTTCGTGTTTACGTAAAAGATGAGAGATATTAACCGCGCTTTGCCCGCCGAGAGGGCGTCAGGCTCAAAAGTGTGAAGATAGATCTTCAAAACAATCTTGATGACGTCAATTGAGAATAAACTCCCTGATATTAATGGCTATTCGTGTCCACTCTCTACTGCCTAAGTCCTGATAATAGTTTTAAGTTCGGTCTCAATATGAATTTATTTTGAAAAGGACGAGATGCTATATCGATGTAAAGAAAGATTTTTTCAATGCGTCTATATTACACTTCGTACTTTGAACGCAATACTCCATCTAGAACAACGTGAGACCTGCATCAGTTTGCTTTCTATATAAAACGATAGATTTATTGGAGAAAGAACTTCAAAGGACTTACAGCAATTCAATCATTTGTTGGTATCTCATCTTTCCACGTTCCACTTTCCACATGTTCTCACTTTAAGTGCCTTCTCATGGCTCTTCAAATCGCTGTAATAAAATTGGATACTCCAAATCGAAAATAAACGGGGCCTTGAGTGAGGTGCTCTAGTATTGGCTGATGTTTTCCTTTTGCACGCGTGCATCGATACAATACCTTCGGTTAAGCATTAAAGCGTTTTTTTTACTTCATCCTAGTCGTATTTTACCGTCGGCAACAATTGACACGCGACTTTGAACCACATGTGGACCTCGTTGAAAATGAAAGTAAACTTGTATTTCATTCTGCTGGGCGTGGTCTGCGCTTTTATAATTATTTTTGTTACAATTAGTGGAATATTGGTATTTTTGCCGCTTGTAGCGCTTTTAAATTTGCTGACTAAATTGATAATTCTGTAAAGCATGAAAGTTAGCCGGGAACGATTTAATACTTTTTCGGGGAATGGAAGCATGGAACTAAATATTTTAAAAAAAGTCTCCAACGCTAAAATTACGAAATGACGTCATTGAACATAGCCTCCTCCACCCCCTCTACCCTTCAAAAAGACAATGTTGGCATTTTGACAGTTTGTGCTCCCCGTACTCCCCTTCCCTACAAACCTTATCTATGCCTATCTAGGATTAAAGCTAAGTTCGCGCGCTGCAGAATGGTCGGGAAAAACAAACATGGCGCTCATCCAGCGTCATTTTATTTTCTTGCCTTTTTCTGTATGGATTGCAATGTGCCATTTTCTTCTTAAATGGACATTCTTTTGTTTTGTTAAAACGTTTGTCAGCGCGTTATGTCAAAAATTCTGGACGAAAGGAACCCAATCATTTCGCAGATTTTACATCGTTGCGATGAGAACCCATTTAAATATCGCGCATGCGTAGTAAATAAAAAATAGTGCTTTCTTGAAACACGCTGATTTCTTAAAACTCCTCTCGTGTTGCAAAAACTTAGTAACTGGTAATTGACAGTTACTAACTGGTAACTTTGAATTCGATTTTCTCCCAAATCCTGGATTAGCTTAATCCTGTTGAGCTGACCCGTCCCAGAATTAACATCAAAAATTTAGCGGGTTTAAGAAGAGTATTTTTTGAGGTGACAACGGAGTATAGGACATTGAACAATTATTCCACTGGCGCTTGTTGTATATAAGTTGGCTGTTAGCATCTCATATCCAACAAGCGCGAGTGGCATAATTGTTTTATTAAAAACGCGCCCAAAATATAGAAAACTAGACTAAAATAAAAATAAAAACGCCCCCAAAATTTACGCGTTCGCTTACCATAGTTGTGGAGCATGGCATAATGGCTCATAACCCATGATGGCTAAGCTAATGAAAACTCTCGAATTGCGTTATCCATTGATCCAGGTTTTAATAATCAACAATTATTCCACGAGCGTGCGTTGGATAGTAGATGATAGATCATCTCATAATCATCTCATATCCAAGTTACGCGAGTGGAATAATTGCATTATTAAAAACGCCCCCAAAATAAAGAAATCTAAAATAAAATAAAGACACTCAGAAAAATTTCGCGTACGCTTGCCATATTTTTAGAGCACGGTATAAATAAACAATAGCCTCCATTTGGCGCGAAAATATGCTCGGAAATTTGTGCGGGGACATTATCTGTTCCGAGAAGCGAACAGTTTCTTGAGCTTTGAGGAACAGATCATGTCGCCGCTCAAATTTCCGAGTATAGTTTCGCGCCAAATGGAGGCTGTTGCCGGTTTAATATCCTTCAAATATTTTTCGCAAGACACACAGTTTTGAAAATGGTTTTTGAAAACATGTAGATGATAAAGAAGTATGAGATGAATAAGTTAATTACATATATTAAAGTAAATGCAAAAAAAAAAAAAAATGTGGAGGTAATAAGGTATGTAAGCAAAACTTATACCGACTTGTCGTAGTCTGCATGAAAACAAATAAGGTAAATGAGAATAATAATAATAATAATAATAATAATAATAATAATAATAATAATATAAGAAACAGATTAAAAAGGTGGCATATATAGAAATACGATTATTCAAAATACGCTAACAACACACAATTATTACTAAAAACATAAAAATGAAATATATTTCTTCACAGATTTCCTTATGATTCGCCTTTACATACAGAAAAGAAAACACTTTCATAAAGATCTTTAACTACATTGTAAAGGGTAATATAAAACCACTTTTGGTATATTTTAATAACAAAATCGTCACAAGAGCGCATCTAGCGTCCCTGACAGCTCTTCTCTGGTTTAGTCAAAATGTAGTCTTAATAGCTCTTCTTCACAACCAGAAACTATTCACGTGTTGAATAGGCTTGCCACTTCCATTTCATAACATAAAATGTAGGGGTAACCACGCGTTTTTTAAAGTTAAATGAGTTTTCTTCATTTGTGAAAACGTTTTTGTGCCCGTTACATTTTTTCCTGTCACTTCCCTAGTAAGTCAAACATTTGCGTCTCTCGCACTTGTTTTGCGCGCGCACTTTGCCATCTGTAGGTACGTGTTTACAGTTGGATTTCAGTAAAAATTTCTCCGTATAACAGCTACAATCGTGGACAAAAGTCCTTGGAACACTTACGTAATTTAACGAATTGTATGTGTTTTGCTACTGAAGTTTGAAAAAAGCGCTGCTTTCCTTTTAAAAACGCGTTACTGTTCCCCCTCCCCACCCAATACAATGTTGAAAACCAGAAGAAATTGTAGTTAGTAGTTTTCAACACTGTATGGGGGGTGGGGGGCGAGGTAAGGCTGGTGAAGTTGTATTCGCGTCTGGTGTGTGCGCAAAAGCGGCAAAAGTGCAAATTTGTCCCAAGACTTTTGTCCATGATTGTAGTTCTTGAGCTGGAAGCCGTTTACAGTTAGTGGTTAGCGATATGCTGCTATTCTGGTGTTCCCGGTTTTAGTATAGGTTTATTAAACTTGATTTGGTCACGGTAGGAAAATTTTGCGTTCATTTTAGTGGCGCATTTGGTAACGTAGTTGATTGCCTCAGTCCGTGTAAGCCATGCCTTGCGTGATGCGTAGAACTTGTGCGCGATAACAATGGTAGGCACCGTTCTGAAGTGAAAACTACCAAACAAGGCGTTAGCTGAACGGTGATTGGAAGTTTCGTGAAACCTAGTCGGTTTTTTACGCATTTAATAAATGGGGATGGTTATGAAACCCAGCAACGTTCATTGTTTTATCTTTTTATATATATATAGGTTCTGTCTCAGCAAATTAACTACGAAAAAAGAAACGTTTCGGTTACAGTATCATACTTGGTGTATGAGGGCAAAACAAACGATTGTTTATGGTCGTGGACCTTCCAACATTAATCTTGGCATCTTTGTTTGCTCCTTTTCAAGTTTACCGGGCGTCAAAGCCATTTCCCTCTATTAACTATGGGGGAATCTAGTTACAACTGCTCCTTTACTACAGGTCATTCAACGCCGGTTTTATACAGAAGAAAATTAGCCTCCGCTTAATAGAGGCACCATTCAAAGTAAATAAATGGGATAATAGATTTTGGGACCTTGGTTATTGTCTAGTTACATGGGCCTGCTTTATTCTGTGTCCGCTTAGTGTAGGTTTTACTGTATTTGCTTCAGTCAGCTGCTGTCACTGACATAATATTTCCTTTTGTAGGCCAGTAGCACCGGTATCCCAAGGTTTCTAATTCTGTTGAAGCCTTAGTGTAGTGAAGTGTAGTTTATTCATACGATTTGCTTCATTATACAATCACAAAACTCTTTTACAACTCTAATGGCCTAAAACTGCACTCTGACCTGAACTTTTTTGTTGTCCAATTTCTTTTCTGAATATATTTTTCTTTCAATAGGCCATTTCCGAGTTGCATTTTGTCTCTGTGTTCGTGCGAAACCATTCATATGAAATATGTTTCCCCTACAGGTTCATTTTCGTGCAAATCAAACTCATTTTTATATGAAAGGTTTTGCACGAGGACTCGTTTTGAAACAGAGGCACAAGGTTACTCGGAAATGGCCTGTTGTTTGAATTCGAGGGCAACCATTTATGAATATGGTCTATAATCTGCACATTTCCTTTTTCACTCTTGCTCCAAAAGATCAGAATATGAATTTAATTATTGTACTATAATCTATTGTCCTTCCTAAAACTCGATAACAGATTATCCATATTTATTGTTAGGCTGCGCCTGATTACGTGGTTGGCATGGAGATAAAGGAAAACCTAGGTAAGAAGTAGATTTAGAAAGAAATTCGTGTTGAGTTATGGTATACCTCAATTTCTCGACTACGCCTAATGAACAACGCATATCATTACGAATTCTGAACTCGAGCTGAGCTGTATGTCTCCAACGTGTCAAATTGGGCAATCTTTTTTATTTGGCATTTGTTCCCCTGCATGTAAGTGTTTTCCCTGTAATTGTAGTGAGAGATCCTTGATTAGTTGCTGTTTTGGACTTAATATAAGTGAACGAGTGAAACACTTAGTTCATAGTCACCTTGTTTTAGATTTGAATAGCTGACGTTTCGATGCTTTTGTCAGAGCCTTGAAATATAGATCCACTGGTGAAACGCTCAAAACGTCAGCTTGCTAAATCTAAAACGACGGATACTTTACCACATGATCTCCATGTTGGTATTTAACTAAGTGTGATCACTGTTTGACCTCGTTGTTCTTTCGTTTGAGGTTCTGGTGCTACAGAATGTATCAGTAAGGCTCTGTTCGTTTGGCTGTCTCGCCCACATTCATGAATTACTCGACAGGTGTTTCTGTTTTGGACTACACCTCGTATTTCTTGGATATTATTTCACCGTTCAGTGTGAACTTTTCCTCGAGTATCACGAATTTCCCATCTTGTCCTTTATCAACATCCTGACTTTTTTCGCTCTCGTCCGCCTTGCGGTCACATTCGATCTGATCTTCAACCCACGTTTTCTTATTTTCTTTCAAATGATTTTCCTGTTTTATATTTTTCAAGACCCGTGGTGCAATGTTTGGGAGAACTCAGTAGAAAAAGCTGGGGAAACAGCCGCCTATCGGCTCGTGTTACCACAGCAATTCTCGTTCTCCCAAACCTCTACTCGTATTTCTCTATTAAACTCTATAGAAACACGGTACGTGTTTTCTATTTCTTAAATAAAGTAGTAGAGCTACCATGCTATTGGGTACCCTGTCATGAGATGCAATTGGTTGCGCCATGTTAGGGATCACTGGTAGTCGAACAACTTACAGAATGGTGGTAGAAACCGATCTTACCTAGAATGTCGTACTCTTTCGTAGGTACTGTAGGGAAAGCCAGGTAGTTTGGTCGTAATGTTACCGCGTGTTAAATATGACGTGTTCATCATGTAGTAACTCTTTTGGACTTTTCCCAGTACTGCACGAAATACAATAGCAGAATGTTATCCAAAAGATTTATATTATTTTCGTGGAACGTTTTTGGGAATAGGCTGGTCTTGTCATGGTAATCAATATAATTTGTATTTTATTTCATTTTCCCGTCCCTACAGTCTTCCGATAATGGTTAACTTCTGCTGGATCTCCCTTTCTTTCAGGTTCTGCCACTGTGTCTGTGATCACGAGGTTGGATCTATGAGCTGTTCTTGACTTCAGATCACTTCTTACGTATTCGTCAAGTTACGTGCTTGTATAAACATTTTGACGATCACTTAAGTTTAAGTAGGGGAGGATTGCTTATAGATAAGGACTTTAAGATACGGTCATTACGGACTACGCGCTATTTCCAGACGTGCGAGTCCAAGCCTCGCGTGGACTGGGCCGACTACGTTAAAAGGGCGCGAAAATCGGACTGGTATTTGGCGTTAAGATTGTGACTACGAAGACTCGGACTACAGCTGCAGGCGAGAAAGAAAAGGTCTTTCGAAGATGTCAGAAGCGCGCTTGCAATAGCTCATGCCGATGGTTTCTAGATGATGAAGAGTTTTTGTTTCTTTATGATCACTACCAGCCTATTAATCCATCATTTCCGTGCTGTAATTATGATCCATTCTGTTTGGATGTGTTCTACTCTTTTGATTGCAAATAGACTAAAGAAAGAAGTGAATTACCTTATATCATAGAATTTTCGCGACACGTTAATTAAAGTGACGCAAACAGTAAGTGTTGCGAACATAACTATGACGCGAAAATTAAGAGACTCACATTTTGTTACTGTTGACATATAGTTCCGCCGCTGAGTTTTTGTTAATTTTGACGTCATTGTACCTTTGATAAAGTCAGTTTACTAAACTCAAGAACATTGGCAAGGAAGTAAATTGCTTGTTACTCAAGAACGCGAAGTTAAAGTGATTCAAAACACCAAATTTTCGCAAAATCGCGGAATTTAAGTGTCGCAAAATGTGCGCACCCCAAAGTCGCGAAATAAACGTGTCACGAAAATGTCATGTAATTAGTAAGGTACCTGCTTTCACCTTCCGTCCACATCCTGCGTGATCTGTTTGTATATAGCTAGCCATGTAAAATATGATATAGCTATAGATTATTTATTCACGGTCAATTATTGAATTCAGACAGGATTTTCCCGTTTCTGCACATAGGCCTTCTTTTCTCACTCACTCTAACTCATGCCCATTACTCCTTGGTGGCGTGTAAGGCAGCAAAGTAATTCTGCAACGTCTGCCGGTCCTTTGCCACGACTTGAATGCTGCTCCAGGTCTTTCCCATCTGCTTCATTTCTTTCTCCACCATGCGTCACCACGTGAACTTTGTGCGGTCCCTCCGTTTTCCTTCTGGCGTCCAGTGTAGAGCGGTCTTGGGCAGATGACATGGCGGATCCACCTCCAGCGACTTCTCATCAGAATAGTAGCCATTGATTCTGCTCTACACCGTTTAAGCAGGTCTTTGTTTGAAATGGTGTTGCGCCAGAAGATGCGCGGAATCTTGGTGTGAGATGTGGACAGCTTTGTTAAATCATAGGCCTTCTTTAAACGAAGCTTATCCTAATCCAATATTAAACCCTGGCGTAATTAAGGGCATCGTATTTACTCACTAAGCCTCGGAAAAACTAGAAAATTATCTACTAACAGAGAAAAAATATGCAAGTTACTAAACTGGCAAAACACCCGTAAGTTGCTTATTCCGTGGAACTCGCACTGCGAGGCTACCGTTTTATTAAATTTTCGACACTTTGAAACCAACCAATGACTAACATTCTGTTGAACGTTCCTCAAAGCTGAGGTTCGACCACGCAGAATGTAACCTTGATTTGCCGGATTGTGTATCAAGGTCGCTTCGTCCAAATTCGAATTGAATTATTTACACTTGTTTCTGACGCAGCTTGTAATTAAATGGCATTTCAATATTTTGTTTTTCAGATTCAGTTTTTTTTTCGACGAAAATTCGAGTAATCTGTAGTAAGCTGACTTAAAGATATATGAATATGAATGTGAAGCCGTGTTTTCGCCTATTGAATAAAGGTGACGGCATAGCAAAACTTGCAGATAGGCAAAAACTTTAAATCTCACTTGTAATGTTATTTCTAAAGGAGAAGCCTTCAAGGACCAAACAAAAGGATGAACAAACTGCGTTAAGAACGCGCTAATAAAATTGTAAAAGCGGAAAAAGCGGGTTATGTCCATATTCTAAGCATAACTTAGTATTAGAGCACGCGAGGAACATGTTATAAAAGAAACCCACCACCAACAAGTGCCTATGAGATTTGAGTTAAGATAATGTAGGTCGCTGAAACCCAACATTTCATGGCGTTATCATTTATTTTTACCTTTATTACTTCGCGTTATCGTAAAATTTCAACGGAGTTTGTGTTCCTTTCTGACACGAGGAAGCTCGTTTGAGGGCATCGACGGTTCGGTCATTTCGGAAATATAAAATAACTACAACTTCGTACCGGCTGAACACTCCGAGGGCTAAGATTAGTCTCCAAGGTTTTTTTCTTTTTTTTTTCATTCTTTGTCTCCAAGTAACTTTGACTGAAGTACTTTTCCCTTCATTTTCCTTATTGTTAACGACTTGATATCACATATATGTATTGCAAAAACGAGAGGGGTTCGTCGTTCTTCAAACGCGAAAATTCAACAATAAACTAAAAGAAGTCGGACGAGCGAAATATCTTGAGTGTTAAACGTGAATTCCTGATTGTTTATTGCCGTAGGGGCTTGTGATTAATACGCCCTTCCTTCGATAAATCACTTGTGCCACGGCTTTCGTCCATTTCCGGAGCTTCACAATTATATCTGACGAAGTATTTCTTGTCCCTGTGGGGAGTATTCGATAAAAGAAGTGGGCCACTTAAACAGACACAGCGGGATGCAGAAGCCTGTCCAAAGTGGCTAATCATTTCTACAAAGAGGTTTTTTGAACAAGCAAACGTTTTCAGTATTGTCACGAAAAAAGTAGGTGGTGTTTCTATTAACCCTATTGCATCCTGAGAAATAATCTGACGAACGAATCAGCTGGAAAATAAATTAGGGTAAATTCCAAACGGCATTCGACGACATTCAAGAAGAAACAAATATTGTAACCAGTATTTTGCCTTATTCCCATTGAGATTTCGCCGTGTGTTTGAATCTTCTGAGATCTTAAAAAAATCATGAAAGGTGTTAGTGAATGGGCTCTGGTTGCCAAACCGGTGGCATGGTTTGTTTCCAAATTTGGCACCGTACGTTTTATTCAATTTCAAAGTAAAATTTACTAAAATATTTGCGAAGCTGGTATTTAGTAGACCCAGTTAAGAGTAGTCTTTGGTAAAAAGTATATTTCATTCCTTGTACGTCACAGCCTTTTTCACCTAGAAAATAAAATGGGGTTCGTTTTGGTTTAGGCAGGTGTACTTACGAGTTCGAGCACACTTATATTAACAGTCTAATTCGTGAGAAGTCATTCATGTAACGGTTCAATTGTTTCGTCATAAATCTAAAGGATTATTAATCGCCTTTGTTGTATTCATTGATTCCTCAGTGAAGTGTTCATAACTTTAGTGTTGTGCAAGTAAAAACAAAGATTGAACGGATAAAAAGCCTTTTGTTCTTTTTTGTTTGGTCCTTATGGCTATCATTTGTATCCTGTTTCTCTGCTCCCTGCCTTCACCACGTGTTGGGCAAGAAACATGTCAAAACAAACCTGCAAAATAGAAAACAAGTTTTCAAAACTCACCAGAAATTATCCAAACATAGCAAAACTTGTCTGAATTAAAACCATTCTTCCGACTCTCTTTCCTTATCATTATTAATTGTGTGGTGTTTTATCTCTTTGTATTCTTATCAGAAGTTGTAACAAAGATTAGAAATTCCACTCACCCCGAGAATTTTCTCTCTTGTAAACAACCAATTCAGACTTTTGTTAACGGGGTTGAAGGAAAGTGACAGTTACTAACAATAGATTTGCTTCTTTTGTGTTCGATTGAATTATTATTTTCCGCAAAGCCAGTGTTTATTCACTAATGTGTGTTAATTGAACCCTGGGGCGATAGGAACATTAGGTGACCAAAGCTTTTTATATATATTTTATGATTAAATATGACAATACGGGTCAATTCATAATCAATAGAGTAAAAATGCATATGGCCTAAGACCTGAGAAGAAAACAATCTATTGGCATTTTTTTAAAACATGTACGTCTTTATTTGTCAAGCGAGAGCCGCTGTTTTTTGTGTGTGTGTTCATCATAGATCGAAAAAAAAAACCAGCACAGCTTAAATATTACAGGACAGATGGCCGGTACCTCGCATGCACTGGTAAGGTTTTAGGTCACATGGGTAAGACCTTGGACTTGATAAGCAATAGCTATGTAATGTTTCTTGATTATAGATTACAGATTCTTTCCAGGTTGTTCCCTGGGAAAGATCACTACTTCCATTCAAAATCCTATCGAAACCCTTTAAGACCAAAAATTCAAAGGGCACTCGGAAATGATTTACCATAAATCACTGCTGTTCATTGTCGCTGTTGTGAACAATACAAACAATCTTGCCGATAGATTTTTAAGCCAATTTTAATCTACCATTTTATCGAGGGCCTTCCAAGGAACAGTATAATCTGGCCACATCACATCTGACGTCTCAAATAATGAAATTATTGTGTCTTATCTATGTGGAAAATAAATCTGTGAATGAATTACGTAAATTGTATTTAAGTGATTGAGTGCCTTACAGAGTCTTTTTTTCCTTTTCCTACTTCAAAATTATAGTTAATCGTAAAGGTGAAGTTTTCCTGTCCGTACAAGTAACTATTATTGCTCTTTCCTATACTCTTGCTAAGGACAAATTTTACAATTTGAACAAAATGCATGTTACGTGTATAAAGCATATCTAAAGGCACGACTAGCTTCCTTTTTTTATTTTTCCTTTATTAATCAGTGTTTGGCTGTGGCATTGTTAGATAAATTCAATTATTATACACTTAAGCAGTTTAGCTAATTACCTGTAGCACAATTTAAGGCTTGGAACTAAAAGTGTTTGGTTTTCACTATAATAGGCGCTTTCTGTGGTTGATTTCCAAACTTGCATGCATTTTAAACACTACACTGTGGAAGTCTCTACAGGAATGCATGAATTGGGTTCCGATTTTGTAATCGTTGATTTCGTTTTCTAGGTATTCTTTTGATGGTATTGATGCATTCTTCAAGTTATGTTCATTATCCATGTTAATATTTTAAAACAGGAAGAACAAGAATTTATCTGTTTGTTCCATCTTAAAGAATTTTTTAACGCAATTTCAGAGTCAATCGCATTAATGTTTATGAACGATAATTAATGTGGATGACGAGAGGATTAACCAAATGTGGAGTTGCTCTATCAATCTTAATTCTTTTAAACTGACTCTCTGGTGTCTGTGCCTGCAAACGCATTAATCTTATTATCTTAACAATAAACGTTTGTGAATCGCGGTATAGCTGCATTGTTTTTATCTAGTAGATTTCTTTACTTAATATAATGTTTCCACTATTTAGTTTTGGGCACCTTCTCCTGTTCTGAGTTCAAATTACAAGTATTTTCAACAGCGGTGCGTGAAAATGTCAATGAAAATGTCAATTGCATTGATCAAAAATCTTTCATGGAGCTTTGGAGGACTGTGCATTAAGCGATTTTAGCCGCCGAGTACTAACAATACTGCCTTTCTTAGCTGAAAAAAAGCTTTCGTCCCTTTTGTTGTAAAAGGTGTAACCATGATTTTGCAACCTTTGTTGCCTGGAAAATGGCCTTATACGTTGTCAACTTGGGATCGTTATTTTCAAATTCCTAAACTATGTACATACATTGTATACCTTGGCAAAGAGGTTTTTGCCCACATAGCACCTGTCGCTAAATCGCGTAGCTTCCTCGAAATGGTCGCCACTCTTTTAATTGCAATCAAGTAAAAACTGATGTGCCGTTAATAATTTCCTCTTTTTTTGAAAGTGAAGGCTGAAGCTTTCAGCTTTGGCCTCAAATGTCTCCTTCGAGATCTCCTAAAAGCACATCCATTCGTAGAACTCTGTCCACTGTCATATTGAGTTTCGTCCATTACTTCAGTTTTCATGTATTATTATTATTTTTATTATTATTGGCTTTAGGCTGTGAAAAGAAGGGTTTAAAGGATGAACTTGCCAAAGTTGAAATAATGGCAACATTTAAGAATAGGTTGATTTTAAAACAGTTAGCATTTATACAGGTGTTTGTTTTCCTTCAACTTGTTCTGGCGACTCGCGAATCTTGCTTTTATTGTCGACAGTTTCAGGTTCCCCAAATGTGCGTCGCATAATTTACAATAAGAAAAAGAAACCTCGAATTTACTATATTTCTGAACAGGTATTTAAAAGATTCGAAACACTCAGAATTCGCTAATCTGATAGAGATAGCGTAACCTTTGTGACAGCTAAATGAAAAAAGTCTTGGTATTTTTAAAAATCTGTGTGGGTGAAATGGCTAAAGCGCGGCACTTAAATTTTTCAAACCGTAAATTTGTCAAAGCTTCAAGCTTAAAATGTGGCAACACGCGAAACAAAATACAGCTCAATGAGTGGATAGCAGATGTGGCCGTTCGTGTCAGAAGCGACAGTAGATCTTGAATGAGTGCGATAAAGGGCATGGCCCACTTATCTCGTTCGCGTTTGCTTTAGAGAAACTTAATCTCAGTATCGGAAAACATGGCGCTGTACAAAGATAACTCCAACTTGAATAGCACTCGCAAGATAAAGCCATGCTTCTCAAATTTGGTTATCTTCCAAACTGTCAACGTCGAAGTCGAAATACGTAAGTGAGCGTAGTTCTGCTGTGTAATTTGTATCTGGCTTGCCTGAAGTGTTCTCCATAAAGTTGTCTGTTTCCTGAAAGAACACTAATTACAGGAAAAGATAAGGGAGCAAACACGGCAGTAGTCAAGAGTATGGATTTTTTCAGAGCAACTCCAAAGGTTCTAAAATTATCCACTGTGTCAAATATAATTGAGTCTTACGGCTGTTGTTTATTAGGTCTTCAGACTACTGGCGTCTTTCGCTAATTACATCGAAATGGCGATTAATATCTATTTCACTAGAACTTCATAGATATCCAAAGTTATTCTAATTAGTAATCTCTTTGGCTAACGCTGTATGGTTACAATTAAAGTTTATCGACGGAGACATTAGCGCCAAGAATGCGCAGCCTGTTCTTTTTTGATACCGGGGATACGTTTGAGTGCACTGCTAATCACGAATTTTCCGAGCTCGGCATCTGGAAATCGAATAATCAGCCTGACCAAACAGTTTGTGGAAATATCAAATTAAGACCGAGAGCTGATAATAAACATTCAAAGCTCTGGGGCATGCAGGAAGGGAATAATCCAAACAAAACCTCTTGTCTTATCGCTAAAAATCAATATGGTCCCTCCTTGGCAGTGTTTAGAAGATTGTCAAAGGTGTTATAATTGATTCAATCATGTTGCACTATTCAAGACTTCACTGCAGTGAACGGTGTTTTCTTTGTGCTTAGAAATTGTATGTATGCCTTGGTGAAGGCCATATTACCATATCATTATCTTCGAAAGCACATCGCTTGCTTCAATTACCTCTCAATTACCGGTTACATACACAGATGGAAATTACTTCCCGAACAAGCCGATAATAGAGACACGTAGTAATTTGTATTTGAAAAAGCTTTAATTGATTTCCATAAAATTTTGTTTTCCTTTAAGATCTGATACTATCGATTGAGAGCCCCCCGCTGACGTCTCCTATTTGTTTTAAGGATTAAAGCAAACAAAAAATGCTTGTCTCTTTAGAGCTAAAATTTTTGGCAAACAAAATAAAGGCGAGAGAAGAGAGCTGCCACATTTCTAGTGATTGATAGTTATGTCTGTTTATAACGGGAACGCAACCTTGGCGTAAATAGAAGTCTCGGTAGCGCTGTATTTCGTGACTTTCGTCACCAGATGAAAGAAGATTCCCATCTCGTAACCGGCCCATTACTTTTCTTTTAAGTACCTTGCATATTAATCCTAATTATCAGACAAGTGGTTTTGGTTTTGAAGCAAGAAAGGCGGTACTTTTGGATAACAACTTCAAACCGACAGTGTGGGCACGTCAGACGAAATTATTTTGTAAATGCCTGGAAGGCAGTTCTAACATGTTTGTAGAATTATCGAAGCCACCACGCCGACAGAAACAATGGAACTACCAAGCCGTAAATTGGTTTTAATGCGAGCCAATGGGAACAATTTAGCAGTTATCAAATCTTTTAAAGATGACACCCTGCGCGTCCTGTGGTTGGCTGCCATTTATCAACAACAAATTTGCTTGATAATGACACAATTATCTTATGCCCTATTAGGCAGGGTCCAATATACGCGGACGTCAAACGGGTGAAATGGCTGTTCACAGCAGGTTCTCTTCAGTTCCGAACTAAAGCTAAGGACGGCAGAGCAAGTAGGCATTCCAGGGACTCCTCGCTAACGCTCAAGCGTTCTGTGCTAGCAGACATAACTGCGATTTACTCTCAAAGAGTTGTCAAACGCAATGGAGCAAAGCAGACCTGCCACGGCTAGAGGTATATCTTTCAGCGTTGAATCGCTTATATCCAAACCAGACCAAAATGGCGACAGCCCGGCAAACTCAGCCCGCGCACCAGGGTTGCCGATTAACTTTTCTGTTGAAAGGCTGTTGGATAAACAAGATGTTAGGGGAGGAGAAGCTGTGAAGGGTACGGAACCTTCTATCGATTTGGCTAGCGAAAGCAAAGACACAAATGAGCGTGTGGAATGGACAGAAGATTTCCCTTGGATGCATTCTACTAGATATGACCCTCCACCTCGTAAGTTTAAAAACTCTGTCGTTTCCTTTTTCACTTTTTCCCATTTAATGTTATGAGACAGTGTTTAACGCTGTATAATTGCTTTAGTTGCACCGTTATGTTGTAAGAAGCAGAGCGGTTTCCTGTCGGCTTGCGGACTGACATAGTACAGCGTTGCGTGTCTTAGTAAAACCTGAGTCCTTTGCTGTACAATCAAGCACTCACTCATATCACTATTTCCCCTCTCTCTCAGGTATTCGTCCACGCTTGAGCCCAACAAAATGTCAACTCAGGAAACATAAAACTAATCGGAAACCAAGAACGCCTTTTACGACTTCGCAACTACTTGCTTTGGAAAGGAAATTTCGACAAAAGCAATACCTCTCGATCGCCGAAAGAGCGGAATTCTCTGCGTCTTTGAACCTTACGGAAACGCAAGTAAAGATATGGTTTCAGAATCGCAGAGCAAAAGCGAAAAGACTTCATGAAGCGGAACTAGAAAAACTTAAACTGGCAAGCAAGCCATATTTGCCACCAAGATTTCCATCGAGTCTTGGAGCTGGATCTGTGTGCTGTGAACCTTCGCCATACGGCCCACATTTCGCTTTCCAATCTTACGCGCACGTTAATTTACCTAATTCACCCTATGGACAGACTATGAGCTACTCACACGGGAGTCCTTACGGCGCTCCTCAAGCTTTTCATAATTTCATGTACCATTAGCGTAGTTGGCAAGTAGCGGTATTAGTTGTAATTGCAATTTCCGATCTGTTTAGATAAATACTTTTGTTTGTATTTTATTTCCCATCCCCCAGTGACAATTATGATTTTCTTATACCAGAGTTTGCCGATCAGAGAATTATAAAGAAAGTTCAGAAAATTTAAATGAAACTTATAATATCAAGCGGTGAACATTTTTTTAAACAAAAATGAACTTCGCAAATTTTGTTAATATTATGTGCAATTATTGCCAAGGGCGGATATGAATAACCCAAGAAGGGTCTGTGGTGGCCACGTATTGAAAAAGCATTTGTAGCTAAGGGTAATTCAATTGATTTCAAGTTGTTGTGAGACCAATTATAAAGACATCAAGCACGTGTCTTCGAAACAAATTCTAAAAAACTGCATTGATACTAGGCACAGCAAATGCTTTGTACAGCCGGTGCTGCAGCAGCTCAACTCAGCGTTCCTTTGGCCATCAAAACAATGTCTTAGTAATTATTTAGCGGCCTAATAAATTGAAATTCGTCTGGTACAATTATGTGGGAAGAACAGATATGAGTGTACCGCAAACTTTGGGTCATACAGTATCTTGGTAGTTTTTTTTTTTTACACCCGAACAACTGGTTGTCAACGGCTTGTACCTGCTAGAACTTGTGAAAAGAAAGCTAATCATCGTATTGTTCACTGGTAGTGCAGCACTAATTTCATCGTCTGATCCGACTTTAGGTGTTGCCACGCTTTTTTTCCGCGTAGGAAAGTTCTGGTACGAAACTGGTGGCCTTGTTTTTCTGCAATTCAATAGTAGCACTTAAAAGCTCAATGGTGTTATTTATCAAGCCACCAGCGATTATTGCACAAGTGACACTAGTTCTTAGTCCAAGTAAAAGGGATTCATTCCTGAAGTGTCCACATGGTCTATGTAAATAGCAAGAACAAACAGTCTATTGTAATATAAAAACAGAAGTAAAGTTATCCTTTGCAGGTAAGGTCGTCTTCTGTGTTTTTCGAGAGCGTAAAGTCAGATACTCAGAGCCAGTTCTTCTGGTACCTCAGTGCTTCTTCCATTGGTCCCACCTATCTCTGTGAATTACTTCACAAAAAGAGGACAAGCAGTTGTTGCTGTATTTTTCTCATAGCAACCTGCCGTTGGGTGATGGTAGATGAGCATACCAAAACAGCTTTCACCCATATGGTCGTCATTAGGAAATAATAGATATGGGAATGCAATGTTGTTTTGTGATAAGGAAACCAGACTTTTATTATTTGCTGTTTGAAAAAGCTGTTGTACAAACAACAGCCAAGACATGCCCTTACCTCTCGCATCTGGCACAAATATGTCTTGCATTTGATAAATTAGGGTCTTGAGGTTCGGCGTCGATTATAAGCCGTGTTTTGCTTTACACTCCCCAGCAGTACTTAAGCCATTTTTTACCCCATGCATTTAACTGTTATTCAAACGAAAACAATAGAACAATATTGCCAATGAAACTTTTCCTTACTCGAGGTAAACATATCGAGAACGTTATCGTGTCTTGGAGGAAAGAATTAGGTTATGTGTCGAGCGCATTTGAAATTCTCTTAGAAGTTAGGGCTTTCCTTTGTTATTATCAGTATCATTATATGATTGGGCTATTTTGGCACTTTGAAATGTTATTTGTAGAGCGTTAATCTCGTTTCTAATACCCTTGGATGAAAGACAAGAAAACTTGATTTCCCTCTTTTAATCTTAATTACGTGTCTTTTTATTGAAGTCTGACTTCGTTCAGTTATCAACAGAATATCTTTTTGTCTTTTTCTTGACCAAGTTGTGTGTTGAAGAGCTCTACATCACAGTGTGAGATGAAGCTTTGAAGAGACAACCCTTTAATTCTGGATGAGATCTCAATCCACGGTTAAGCAGATTGCCTCGAATAAAGTGTTTATACCTGGAGAACATTTGGACTAAAAAAAGCCTGCGCCGAGGAGGAGAGAACAAACTGTTTCAACGTTTTTCTTTTCTTTTTTTCCTTTTTTGACAAATAGCACTTGAAGGATTCAAAGAAGGAGTTTTATTTACATTTCGGTCAGCTGGAATTCGCTCGTGGCAAGTTTCTATCCTAGTAATGAAAAATTAAAATGTTTTCTGAGTTCGTGAATTTGGGGAAAATGTGTTTGTATTCTACAACAGATACCGGTTTTATTGTTTCATTGATTTACTTAAGCTGATGAGACCTTGCAATTCAACTAGCATTACGGACACAGCGCACTAGAGAAGAAATTATCTTGTGTTTACTTAGCAAATGAATATGAAAATGCTACTTATCTCGGACAAATTACATACCAATTAGTACTCAGCGGGTCTCTCGAGAACGCCTGGCGTCTCTGTTTGTAAAGTGATTCATTAATAAGCAATTTTACAAAAGGCAAACTAATTAAAAACCGCTTCTGTCGGTGCTTTTTGTGATTCGTTTCAGAAGCACTTAAAAGGGACTTTGGAATGACTACAAAATGCGAAGGCGGTCTCAAAAAGTCTACAATAGACACGATGAATTGCCTTATACAAAAGGAGTAGGAACGACAATGTGTTGAGAACTAAGGTCGTGTTAAATAGCAACTAGCACTACAACGCCATCATTAAAACAAATACACACTGCCCTGTTTGTGCAATTTGTTTTCTACACAATAAAACTAGTATGAGACGTCGCCAATTGTTTATGCCAAACATGGCTTGAAAGCCAACGGTTTTATAAAATACCTCCCGCTGTTAAACGAGTCACAATCAATCTGTCAGGTTTGGCCTCTTGAATCTCACCCATTTGAACGAGCCAATTTTATTTTGGGCCCCTTAACTCTTCTCTGATAAGGCAACTTAGATTAGCTAAAGGTGTTTTGTCCTTGCTAGATGAATATTATGTTTCTTTTGGTTGATTTTTTCGGATTCCAGCCATTGCCTCGTACAACGTACCATTCAGTCGAGCCATGAAGCATCACACGCTCCAGTAAATCGCGGCCGCTTTTGATATGAAATTGCTGATATCTAAATGGCTTCCAATCTTCCTGCGTGATATTGTACCTCGGCACTTGTATAAAGTTGTTTTCAAGAGGAGCTAATTGCTCCATGCGAGTTCCAATGAGAAAAATTTGAGCGAAGGTCAACTCATTATTTACGAATTATTGCGATACGTGTTACTTTCGAACTTCATCCATACAGCAATGCATCGCTACAATTGTTATGGGATTATATGTGAAAGAAGAGGTAATAAGCTCTATTTGTTTTCAACGCTTTTGTGCCAAGCAACTGATTATGATTTTCATGCTTGAATGACAACTGGATGTGTTTTCAAAAGAACTGTTTGTTCGGCAAACGTGGCTGTCGGCATGAAAGAGTTCTTGTCTTCAAGAGACTTAATTGTTTAAAGTTTTAACCATGGTAGTACAAAGCATTTTTACTCTAAATTGTCGTAACTGTTGTTTGCTTCAAAATTCCTGTAGACCTTATCCACGAAGAAAGGCAAGTCGTCTATTTGACTTTGGAAAAAACTCTTGACTCACAAGAAAGTCGTCGTTTATTCATCCCTATTATTTTACGATCTTTTTGCTTAGAATGACCATTTTGCGAAACCCACGTACGAACAAAGGTCTATTGTCTACAAATGTCATCTTCTCAGTGTGACCTAAGAAGTAAAGCAGAACTACGAAATAGAATCAATCACTACAAGACTTTATTTCTGCTAGTAAATTTTAATTCCTATTTATTCCGGGTAATTGTGCGATATGAATAGAGGGTTGATGGTGTGCACGTTGTAGCCCCTGTTCTCTTTGTATTTTTCTTTTTGAGATGTTTGTTAAACGTTGTTGAATACCTGTTTTAACGTGCCTCGTAGAAAAGTAAAACAATATTTTTAGGCGTTGCAGGTTCTTTGAGAGAAGGTCCCGTTAGCCAGTAATAGAAATGCAATTCACTTCGGTTCTGTTTTTTCCTCTACTTACCTTTTCAAGAGAGAACAATTCTATTCTTTCCTTCAATTCTGGTTTTTGCTCTTTACGCCTTACTAATAGTGGAAAGGGATTTATGTCTACTACATCCAGTGAATAAAGTGAATTGATTCGAACGCTCCTTGTGTCAAAGTAAAACAGTCTGTGACAAGCACACAAAACCCGTCGTTATTAACTGGTTCGATTATTTTTAACTTGCAGCTTTTTTTAATGATTTGAAAAATTTACAATATTACGTGCACTTAGAGACGTTGACCTTCCCTTCGAAATTCTCCATTGCTTCTTATTCGCATCAAGAACTTTTGTAAATAATTCCTTCAATGTCGTGAACTGCGACACAGGAATGTCCATGGATTTTTTCGCTAAAAAAAGTCTGTTCATAAAGCTGTCATTTCTTTGAAACACACTGGACTTCTATATTGGGTTTCAGTACCGCAATTAATCAAACTCAGCTATTTTCAAGAAATAAAATAAGAGTGAACGTGATGGATACTGAGGAAACAGTTTGTGTTGTTTTAGAGGCCAGAATTGATGAACCTGTCCGTTGCTTTCCGTTTCAATCACCAAGAAAATGCTTAATATACTACTGCAATTTACGAAAACCACTTTCGTATGTCAGCTAAACTTGTATTTAAGGAATGTTCGAAATGAAAGACAAATGAAAACTGCCCTGGCCTGTTCTAAATAATGGTGTCTTGCAGTGTCTCACCAGTAATGTCTGTGAAATATAGGCTTTCTCTTTGCAAATCGAGAAACGTGATGCAGAACTTGACTCTTGTTCAGATAGTATAGTATACCTTGGGTGTATCCTAGATCTTGTAATGTACTGAATTTCATAAAATTAATTACCTGTGTCAAAAATAGTGTTGCACTGTTTGTTATCTTGCACTTTTATTGAACATTATCAAGTTGGTATGTGGAAATTTCAATAGCCTGCTTTCGATTATCTTCCATTTACGACTTGCAGATGGGTGCCTGTGTAAGGAAAATTGAGCCCTGAATCTAGCCAATTTATCTAATAAATGTCAAAACCAAATGGACTTACTTCCAGCCAAGCTGGAACCGTCTTTAGATGAAGCCATTCGTCGTTTTATTGCATTAGAATTCAATTAGTTGTTACACGAACATTGAGGCCGAAAAGCGATGCGACAATTTTACTGGTCACAACAAAACAAGTATCTCCCCTCCAGCGAATACCATCTGGTAAATCATGGCTCCTTGCCATTACAACTTCATAGAGTTTTTTAGTTCTCAAGGGGAAGTTGTTTTCTTGGCTGAAACGGTTTTATTTGGCATTTGGCATCGCGTCAAACAAATTAACTGTTATGCCTTTTGCCATCCTAACTGCATGTAGCCTTTGATTCTCTCGTATAAATTACCTCTTGAATTTAGAAATGTGTTTTTGTAAATTTGGAGTAGACTTCACTTTTTAAAATAAAATACAATTTTTGGAATATTCAGGTTAGGCAACACCAACAAAGCCTTAAATGCACCGTGTTCTCACTTGAAATGATTTTCTTCATCTGAGGTTTTGTAGTACAATTTTCCGGCAGTCCTTAAGATCTGGGACTTTATAAAAAAGCTTCTCGCGAAAAATCCTTTGGTCGCATTTATGGCAAACGTGAAGCGGGTCTGTTGTCCTCGAACTTGACGAAACAACACGAGTGATGGATTTACCAGAGGCTCCATTTTAGAATTTTCACAGTAAAACGTCGCTGTCACGTGGTTATTTCCTTTATTCTTTCCGTCAGTAAACTTGCTTAAGTAACAAGGAACGTTTGCTCGATGTGGAAAATGTAGAAAATGCTTTTGAAAACTACCCTTCCAGTTGAGCAAGAAAAGTTTTTTTTGGAGATATTTGTGGAATTCGTACTGACACGAACAAACTGTTCAAAACTCCTGGCAAAACAGACCAACGACTCAAAAGGAATCAATTGACAGGTTGTAGTTTTTGGTGATATTCTTGTAGAATTCGTACTGATACGAACAAACAGTTCAATACTCCTGGCAAAACAGACCAAGGACTCAAAAGGAATCAGTCGACAGGTTGTAATTAAACTTGATGGAACACCGCAAATCTCGTTGAGGTATTACCCGCATTATGTCTCATTCATTTGCCTTCCTTCACGTTACACACTAGGAAGTTTATTCTAGCTATATAGGCTTTTCAAGAGGCTCTGTCGTGTCATTGTCCTGGTAACCTGTTGCATTGTCCAACAATAGGGCAAATATATTGCTCTTGATATTGTCTAATGGGATTTCTCATTGAAGCCGAAGTCGTCTTTTTTGATGTTTTTCGCATTTCGTATCTTTCTCGTTTGCGGAAGCATTGGTTATCAGGTTGATTGTGTGATATTCTTAGAAAAAGCAAGTTTTGTTAACAAAAGAGTAAGGTTTTGTTTGGCGACTTGGTGGCACCACGCACCTGTGTGTAGGGAGAAGCGAATAATTACATTTTTTAAAATTGACTTTTGAGCAGGAAACTGACTTTTTAAAGTCAATCTCTTCGTGTTTATTTCAGACGCTTTTTGCGTTATCTTGAGGCCAATTTCCTTTTCGTTTTTTTTTATTTTTCAAAGTAAACGAAAAGGTAGAGTAGTAATTTATCGGGACGCACAGGAACAGCAAGATGCCAGAATTGTTGACAAAGCGTGAACACATCTTGTAAAATATTTAATATCAAATCGAAAACAAAAACCAAGATCATTTATTGATATTGTCAACAGCTGTTACGTTGGCTGCGGGTGTAAATGAACCGACTGAACAAGTGTTCCTGGGTTTGTTAAATCTGTGAACTGGCTATACTTAACGTTGTGTTGTGCTGTGCTAACATAAACTCGTGTCGATACGTTCTAAATTTGTCGACGGACTGATTAAATTAAGACGTTCTCAAGGGAAGCAGGTGCCGGTATGCTAATAGTATGGAAATGTGTTAAATTTCAAAAAACCCTAGATTGGTTTAATTGCAGAGTCAAAAATAACAGGAAGATGCTGATCAGATCCTGCAGATCTCTTGTTGGAGTGGATGCTTTGTTGACTTGCCACTTATTTCTATTAACACATTCCACCCGTTTCAGGGAAGCAAAAATGTGGACGTGCGTTGTAACATGAATCACCAGCAACACGTGTTTGAAGGGCACATTATTTCCATTACCGTTCTGAACATATAGGATTGAGTGGCAGAACTGGAATTATTTGTTTATTCATTCTAACGTTTTGTTTCGATTCGTGAGACCTTTAGGGAAGAGTTCAGTGAAGTTTCATCGCCGTCTGGAATAGATTGACCGCCCGTCAAGATGGCAGCCTTGAGAGAGTGCTCTACCGAGCCGGCTGTCTTTTGGTATGCTTTACGTGTTGCGTTGCCTTGACTGTGCCTTCGTGCTAAAATGATTTCATACTAAACGTGATGTTCACCTGGTTTCTTTTGGAAATTGTAATCACAATGATAAAACGTGTTTTCGGTGATTTATAGCCTGAGACAAACTCTTCTATTTTTCACTGTTCTAAAAATGTTTGGGTAGTATTGACAGCAATGCTTGAATTTTAAAGATCCAAATGGCTCTTCGAGAGACGAGGGCAGTAGAGATATGTTCCTGCAGTGAACGATTTACAATGAACAAGAATTGAAAGGCAAACTTGTTGTCAGCTGTAAGGAATTTCTTTGTCTATCAGCTGGAGCATTTTCCTGCCTACGTGATTTTAAGAAGATTTACAAAGACTTCCAACGATCTCAAATTGTTAATTTATTTTAATCAGTGATCTGTCAGCTTTGTAGTTAGTCAGTGATCATGTTTACTCGTCCTTACGTTCAAACTCAAGATTGCAGTTATAACAAGGTCATGATTCAAGTTCCCTCAGACAAGCTTCCTAGTGCGTTCGTTTTCATGGGTTATTCAGCTAAGCGAAGCTCTACAGACTGGAGCTACAATTCTTGGATTGCTTCGTGCAGAATTGCACACTGGGCTTATTGTTATGAAACGTTTCATTGTATCAAAGGGAGCTTAGTCATCGCGATACTCGATTTCTATTATTTCGGGTTAAAAAGCAAATATTAGTGATAGAAACAAGAGCGATTGATGTCTGTGCTCTAGTCAGATACAAACACTGAAGTTTGTTTCCGTATCCATCCATTAACAGTGCCGTGTGCATAAAGCTTTCTCCATTGTCAACCACCTGTTTCACTCTTGTCATCTTCTCTAACCTGGCGGCTGCGCCATCAGTGTCTTTGTTGATAAAGCTTATAATTGAACACTATGTTCTTTTGCACAAAGGAGTATTTAAAAATCCAATCAGAAAATGGCTTAAAACGTTGATGTTCGGAAAACGATAGGGCTATTTCAATTTGAAGACGCGCTGAGAAAAGAAGTTTGTAACAAGAGCTCAGATAACCACATGGCATAATTTCTCGCGCCGCCTCTCATACACACAATGCTCACTCCTAACAGCTGATCATCGTGTTCTATGCAAAATTCTCGCTCACTAGTCTCAATGCTTACAACACAATGATGAATATAACAGTGGGATACGACGATATCATACTGTGAGATTATAAATTAAAAAAAACAAATAAAAAAATAGGGAGCACTGCTTCATTGATCCAACATAACACACGAAAAGAGCATGGGCATTTCATGCGACCAGTTACTACTTTACGCTCGGTAGGAACTCCTGCATCTCTGTTAAGCCTCCTCTGACAAAACGAAGAGAAGAAGACTACAGTGTGTTGCAGTGTACCTGTCTGCCTGATCAGTAAATTCCACGTGTTTCCCAGTGGGGCTTTAAAACAGACTGCTACGTTCGTTCCTTTGCGTAGTGTCCATTTTTGTCCAAAACCACCAAAAGCTATCGGTCGGATAAGCCTGTCTTTTTCCAACCGCATTCAAGTAATTGCATTGGACAAGAGAAAGAGTGCAAACCGGACTGTACAGTATTAGAATTGAAATAAAATCACTTTGCTACACAGACTCTATGTCAGACGCGACTTACTAAGACAATGGCTCCGGAATGTGTCTTCTTTTAAGCTTTGCTTTTTCTTTCTCTATCAGTTTTTAGTTAAATGTTGATGAAATCTATCGGTTTCCCCTTGAGGTAAGTATTGTACTTTATTTTAAAATACCTTGTGGAAGGAAAGTTCAGTTTATCATTTCTACCGGTAAGAGAACCTGCCATTGTGAAGAGATGTCAATAAATTAAATCTTGCTAACTTATCTGCATTTTTTGGTTTAAACGCTGTAACAGTAAGGATTCAACGTTATCAACACACAGTACACGCTACTGTTTTGAGTTGTTTCTTACAATGGGTTGGTAGTAAACGAGTACTTGCGCAATACTTCAGGAAACCTTTTATTAAATCTAGCCTATTGTTATTTCCTCTTTAAGGCAACCTCTTGTCACTTTGTTTTTATATAAAACTTCAAATGTTACCACCCGCTACAAGTTCCAACTCGCTGAAAGACATCCAGCGGAGTTTAGTCTCTCACCAGGCTGGGCCAAAAATACTGTTAACATAACACGAACATAGTGTTGTTCAAGTATACGATTGCGTTCAGTGCCACGTGGAGTTTATTCAAGGTAGTGAAGAAATTGCGACATCTTTTTTTAAAGCAAAATGGGGAGTTCATCCTTTATTGCCCATCAACCGCCAACACCAGCTTATTACGAAATAATTGCAGGTTACTTTTCACGTGTGGGGGGGTGTATCAAGTCTGGAGAAAACATAGGTTTCAAGTTTTCAGTTGTTTGATTTTGTCTTTAGTCGAAGACTCACCCAAAAAACTTATTCAGGTTATTCAGGCCATTCCAGAACATCGCTCTCGGACGAAAAAAGCACGGAATGCATGAAGAGCCGTCAATTGAAATAAGTGGCAATGATGATAGGGTTTTCTTTCCATCAAATTTTGATTTACCTGTTTATAATGTGTTTTAAGAAAGCATTATATCGTTACCTCGTGATAGTTTGTTCGTGAGAACTTCGAAACAAGCAATCTTCCCCATAAGGAACATTTTGGCGAACAAAGACTCTGAGGAACAGTTATTAGGGGAAATGTGGGTAAACAAATTTCAATTTTGCGCTCAGGTGTAACGTAATTATGGTTTTCGTTATCCCGCTTAGTGGAAAAGCTGGTTGGAATTTTCCATCAAGCTTTCAAAATTCCATTTGCGAACCAATATGGTGTTATCGCTTATCAGCATTAAGCTCTTATAAACAGATTTAGCCGACAGAAGTGGAGAGGCGCCGCGACGGCAGCTCAGCCCCATCTCTGATAAACACATTGGCCTGAAGGGGAATTAGATTAGATAGAAATTCACATACCACTTAAGATTTTTGAACATCAAATTAGTTCTTGTGACAGCCACGAGTGGTTTTTATTACGTGTTGAATTGACAAGAAGAAATCAGCGCAAAGGATTCCAGTTTGTCATATTCCGTTGCCTATATCTGGACTTCTCGCGGTATATGCAAATCTTAAATGTGTGCACGCAATTGAATCTGGAGGCCTAGTTACAATGCCATCTTAATTGTCTCGGCTTTATTTCACTAAAGCCGCACACACTGGTTCATGTATAAATGATCTCATTAGGAAGTGGCCTTTGGCTTTCTTATTTGCTCATTTTCCGCTTTTGTGTCGTCTTTTCAAGTCCTTTTTATGCGAAGAAAATTAAAGGTTAAACGGCTATCTTTATCAAAATTACCAGACGGTCTAAATTACTAGAGAGTGAAAAGCTCATAGGAAACTCAGCTTGCTTTCAAACGCGGCGAATGACCCTTTAAACGTTGCTGCAGTTAGGAGCTGAGAAGTATTTGGTAACGTATCTCTTTATAAAGAGAGAAGAACCCTCGTAAATACAGCACAAATGGAAGAAATTGACTGTTGGATTGTTTCTTGAAGATTTTCACGCACAATAGAAAAGGAACACTCAAGCGAAAGCCCTGGAATGTACCTGCCATCGACAACTGTTATCGAGCGATTCGTGCGATCCAAGGAAAACATAAACAAGTTATTTCCATTATTTTTGCATTGAAGGTTTTCGACATATGACCGGCAACACATTGGGTTGAGGTGTATAATTTGCACATGGCCTGCGCGGCCAGTGCAGTTTGATTCGGTGAACGCAAAATATTGTCAATGGTTAAATCCAATAGGACGATTTTTGTTGTATGCAAAAATTTGTTATACGCTACGTTTTTGCCTCCTCAAAAAGCAAACCTTATTCAATGTCCCTTGTGTTTGTATCGACAACTGACGTAAGACTATTTGTAGATGGAAATCCCGCACTGCTTCCGCTGACTAGAAACAATGATCTCTAACATTTCCAATGACACAGATAACATCCTTTACTGTGTCTTCTTTTTGTTTTCATAAAACCTTTTGTGAAGTCGCACTACATTCGCGAACCACAATGAAGATTATATTTTGCAACGAAATCATGGAGCAGTGATTGATTGCATGTGTACAAAAAGATTATGGTATAAGTTAACCTTGGTTAGAATGAATGAAAGGTCTTGTTTTTGAGCACGCCTTTCACACGATAGCTGCCAGGTTGGTTCAGTTGTTCATTCTCTATTCAATCTCACGATTTGTGGACACTTCTAAAGGCGCGTTCTTTTGCCATTGATTGTTGCGGAGGAGAGGGCAGGTTAAGATCTTTATTGAGAAGAAATGTATCCAGGTTTTTACACTGAAAGTGGTCTTTTAATCCTCGCCTTGCCTGTTACCAATATCTACAAGAATTTACAATGTTACTCCGGTTTTCATTGTATATGGTAGGATTAAAAAATGCAATAATTAAACGATTTAAGTCAGAATATCAGATGAACGAGTAAAGTTAGATAGTTATTACTAGTTAACATTCACGTGTAGCATTTGTACTGAGCTGAAGCAAGGTGTTTGGACTATCATTTTCGTTTTGGAGGGATCATATCGATGCAATTTTTTCTGCTTTGTGTAAAAGTGTTTTATCTTTGTTCATTTTAGCAAAGCATCGTACATCTCTTCATCCAAACAAACTGGTGTTATTTCTTTGTGAACTTACTGCAGCAACTGTCATGACAGCCAGTTTTCAGATGTACTCAAACACTCCCCATTCTTTATTATCGTACGTATCTCTCATTTAATTCGGCGCATGCAAAATGCATGCTTACATACCAAAGACTAAGCTGATATAAAGATCTCATGTTTTTCTTTGCGGCTTATCTGAATTTTTTAGATCATTGATAAAATGCATGATTCATCAGAAACCATATGCCTTGGCCATTTATAGACTCGAAGACAAGGAATTCGTCTGGAATTGGATAATGCAAACAATGTAAATCCAGACCAAATTTCAAGGTTACTATTTCTTACTGCTACTTAATATAGCAATTCCCCCTCCCCCTCCCCCCAAAAAGAGATTTTTAAATTACGATATGCCCTCGTTTTCAAGAGATATTGGTGAACTCAACTGAAAGTTAAGATAACGCGATTGTAACACTGCACTCAGTTTCCACGGGCGGTTTCACCCATTTCATGAAAAAAGAATACGGCTTACGTAGCAGCCGAATTAGGTATCTATCTAAGTAGTACCTAAAAATAGTAACCTTCCGTGGGTAACCGTCTGGACCCCAAATTCTTCACTTGTCCTTAAATCCCTAAAAACATGCTTAAAGATGTCCTTAAAGAAATCCCTGACCAAACAAAACATTCTTGAATTTCGTCCTGATGGATTATGCACCTAAAGTGTAAAAACTGCCATTCTTCTACGACGAACGCATTTGGCAGTGGCTCTTGTCAGCTGTGTCTTTAACTTTATATTCCTCAGCTGTGATTTCGATGGCTTTTTTAGAGCTTGGAGCCTTTCCGGTTCTGCTTTGTTCGCGGACGAGCTTTTTAATAGAAAAAGCTATTATTAGAGCGTTTGTTGATATTAAGTCTTCGCGTTGATTACAAAGGCTCTTGCTTATTCAAAGTCGGTAACAGCAGTAAGTCGTCTCCCCACGCCCCAACCTTCACCTGAATTGCTTCACCCCACCGTAAATATACAGTAAACCATAGAGAGCCCATGATCAAACCGAGGAGAAGTTTATCACTTAGCTAGACCTTATGAATTCCGTTGGTTCGGGATAAATCACACATGTACTGTTTCCTCTTATTAAACAGTACTGATGGGAAATCTTGTTTCCTTGCGGNTCTCTAACCTGGCGGCTGCGCCATCAGTGTCTTTGTTGATAAAGCTTATAATTGAACACTATGTTCTTTTGCACAAAGGAGTATTTAAAAATCCAATCAGAAAATGGCTTAAAACGTTGATGTTCGGAAAACGATAGGGCTATTTCAATTTGAAGACGCGCTGAGAAAAGAAGTTTGTAACAAGAGCTCAGATAACCACATGGCATAATTTCTCGCGCCGCCTCTCATACACACAATGCTCACTCCTAACAGCTGATCATCGTGTTCTATGCAAAATTCTCGCTCACTAGTCTCAATGCTTACAACACAATGATGAATATAACAGTGGGATACGACGATATCATACTGTGAGATTATAAATTAAAAAAAACAAATAAAAAAATAGGGAGCACTGCTTCATTGATCCAACATAACACACGAAAAGAGCATGGGCATTTCATGCGACCAGTTACTACTTTACGCTCGGTAGGAACTCCTGCATCTCTGTTAAGCCTCCTCTGACAAAACGAAGAGAAGAAGACTACAGTGTGTTGCAGTGTACCTGTCTGCCTGATCAGTAAATTCCACGTGTTTCCCAGTGGGGCTTTAAAACAGACTGCTACGTTCGTTCCTTTGCGTAGTGTCCATTTTTGTCCAAAACCACCAAAAGCTATCGGTCGGATAAGCCTGTCTTTTTCCAACCGCATTCAAGTAATTGCATTGGACAAGAGAAAGAGTGCGAACCGGACTGTACAGTATTAGAATTGAAATAAAATCACTTTGCTACACAGACTCTATGTCAGACGCGACTTACTAAGACAATGGCTCCGGAATGTGTCTTCTTTTAAGCTTTGCTTTTTCTTTCTCTATCAGTTTTTAGTTAAATGTTGATGAAATCTATCGGTTTCCCCTTGAGGTAAGTATTGTACTTTATTTTAAAATACCTTGTGGAAGGAAAGTTCAGTTTATCATTTCTACCGGTAAGAGAACCTGCCATTGTGAAGAGATGTCAATAAATTAAATCTTGCTAACTTATCTGCATTTTTTGGTTTAAACGCTGTAACAGTAAGGATTCAACGTTATCAACACACAGTACACGCTACTGTTTTGAGTTGTTTCTTACAATGGGTTGGTAGTAAACGAGTACTTGCGCAATACTTCAGGAAACCTTTTATTAAATCTAGCCTATTGTTATTTCCTCTTTAAGGCAACCTCTTGTCACTTTGTTTTTATATAAAACTTCAAATGTTACCACCCGCTACAAGTTCCAACTCGCTGAAAGACATCCAGCGGAGTTTAGTCTCTCACCAGGCTGGGCCAAAAATACTGTTAACATAACACGAACATAGTGTTGTTCAAGTATACGATTGCGTTCAGTGCCACGTGGAGTTTATTCAAGGTAGTGAAGAAATTGCGACATCTTTTTTTAAAGCAAAATGGGGAGTTCATCCTTTATTGCCCATCAACCGCCAACACCAGCTTATTACGAAATAATTGCAGGTTACTTTTCACGTGTGGGGGGGTGTATCAAGTCTGGAGAAAACATAGGTTTCAAGTTTTCAGTTGTTTGATTTTGTCTTTAGTCGAAGACTCACCCAAAAAACTTATTCAGGTTATTCAGGCCATTCCAGAACATCGCTCTCGGACGAAAAAAGCACGGAATGCATGAAGAGCCGTCAATTGAAATAAGTGGCAATGATGATAGGGTTTTCTTTCCATCAAATTTTGATTTACCTGTTTATAATGTGTTTTAAGAAAGCATTATATCGTTACCTCGTGATAGTTTGTTCGTGAGAACTTCGAGACAAGCAATCTTCCCCATAAGGAACATTTTGGCGAACAAAGACTCTGAGGAACAGTTATTAGGGGAAATGTGGGTAAACAAATTTCAATTTTGCGCTCAGGTGTAACGTAATTATGGTTTTCGTTATCCCGCTTAGTGGAAAAGCTGGTTGGAATTTTCCATCAAGCTTTCAAAATTCCATTTGCGAACCAATATGGTGTTATCGCTTATCAGCATTAAGCTCTTATAAACAGATTTAGCCGACAGAAGTGGAGAGGCGCCGCGACGGCAGCTCAGCCCCATCTCTGATAAACACATTGGCCTGAAGGGGAATTAGATTAGATAGAAATTCACATACCACTTAAGATTTTTGAACATCAAATTAGTTCTTGTGACAGCCACGAGTGGTTTTTATTACGTGTTGAATTGACAAGAAGAAATCAGCGCAAAGGATTCCAGTTTGTCATATTCCGTTGCCTATATCTGGACTTCTCGCGGTATATGCAAATCTTAAATGTGTGCACGCAATTGAATCTGGAGGCCTAGTTACAATGCCATCTTAATTGTCTCGGCTTTATTTCACTAAAGCCGCACACACTGGTTCATGTATAAATGATCTCATTAGGAAGTGGCCTTTGGCTTTCTTATTTGCTCATTTTCCGCTTTTGTGTCGTCTTTTCAAGTCCTTTTTATGCGAAGAAAATTAAAGGTTAAACGGCTATCTTTATCAAAATTACCAGACGGTCTAAATTACTAGAGAGTGAAAAGCTCATAGGAAACTCAGCTTGCTTTCAAACGCGGCGAATGACCCTTTAAACGTTGCTGCAGTTAGGAGCTGAGAAGTATTTGGTAACGTATCTCTTTATAAAGAGAGAAGAACCCTCGTAAATACAGCACAAATGGAAGAAATTGACTGTTGGATTGTTTCTTGAAGATTTTCACGCACAATAGAAAAGGAACACTCAAGCGAAAGCCCTGGAATGTACCTGCCATCGACAACTGTTATCGAGCGATTCGTGCGATCCAAGGAAAACATAAACAAGTTATTTCCATTATTTTTGCATTGAAGGTTTTCGACATATGACCGGCAACACATTGGGTTGAGGTGTATAATTTGCACATGGCCTGCGCGGCCAGTGCAGTTTGATTCGGTGAACGCAAAATATTGTCAATGGTTAAATCCAATAGGACGATTTTTGTTGTATGCAAAAATTTGTTATACGCTACGTTTTTGCCTCCTCAAAAAGCAAACCTTATTCAATGTCCCTTGTGTTTGTATCGACAACTGACGTAAGACTATTTGTAGATGGAAATCCCGCACTGCTTCCGCTGACTAGAAACAATGATCTCTAACATTTCCAATGACACAGATAACATCCTTTACTGTGTCTTCTTTTTGTTTTCATAAAACCTTTTGTGAAGTCGGACTACATTCGCGAACCACAATGAAGATTATATTTTGCAACGAAATCATGGAGCAGTGATTGATTGCATGTGTACAAAAAGATTATGGTATAAGTTAACCTTGGTTAGAATGAATGAAAGGTCTTGTTTTTGAGCACGCCTTTCACACGATAGCTGCCAGGTTGGTTCAGTTGTTCATTCTCTATTCAATCTCACGATTTGTGGACACTTCTAAAGGCGCGTTCTTTTGCCATTGATTGTTGCGGAGGAGAGGGCAGGTTAAGATCTTTATTGAGAAGAAATGTATCCAGGTTTTTACACTGAAAGTGGTCTTTTAATCCTCGCCTTGCCTGTTACCAATATCTACAAGAATTTACAATGTTACTCCGGTTTTCATTGTATATGGTAGGATTAAAAAATGCAATAATTAAACGATTTAAGTCAGAGTATCAGATGAACGAGTAAAGTTAGATAGTTATTACTAGTTAACATTCACGTGTAGCATTTGTACTGAGCTGAAGCAAGGTGTTTGGACTATCATTTTCGTTTTGGAGGGATCATATCGATGCAATTTTTTCTGCTTTGTGTAAAAGTGTTTTATCTTTGTTCATTTTAGCAAAGCATCGTACATCTCTTCATCCAAACAAACTGGTGTTATTTCTTTGTGAACTTACTGCAGCAACTGTCATGACAGCCAGTTTTCAGATGTACTCAAACACTCCCCATTCTTTATTATCGTACGTATCTCTCATTTAATTCGGCGCATGCAAAATGCATGCTTACATACCAAAGACTAAGCTGATATAAAGATCTCATGTTTTTCTTTGCGGCTTATCTGAATTTTTTAGATCATTGATAAAATGCATGATTCATCAGAAACCATATGCCTTGGCCATTTATAGACTCGAAGACAAGGAATTCGTCTGGAATTGGATAATGCAAACAATGTAAATCCAGACCAAATTTCAAGGTTACTATTTCTTACTGCTACTTAATATAGCAATTCCCCCTCCCCCTCCCCCCAAAAAGAGATTTTTAAATTACGATATGCCCTCGTTTTCAAGAGATATTGGTGAACTCAACTGAAAGTTAAGATAACGCGATTGTAACACTGCACTCAGTTTCCACGGGCGGTTTCACCCATTTCATGAAAAAAGAATACGGCTTACGTAGCAGCCGAATTAGGTATCTATCTAAGTAGTACCTAAAAATAGTAACCTTCCGTGGGTAACCGTCTGGACCCCAAATTCTTCACTTGTCCTTAAATCCCTAAAAACATGCTTAAAGATGTCCTTAAAGAAATCCCTGACCAAACAAAACATTCTTGAATTTCGTCCTGATGGATTATGCACCTAAAGTGTAAAAACTGCCATTCTTCTATGACGAACGCATTTGGCAGTGGCTCTTGTCAGCTGTGTCTTTAACTTTATATTCCTCAGCTGTGATTTCGATGGCTTTTTTAGAGCTTGGAGCCTTTCCGGTTCTGCTTTGTTCGCGGACGAGCTTTTTAATAGAAAAAGCTATTATTAGAGCGTTTGTTGATATTAAGTCTTCGCGTTGATTACAAAGGCTCTTGCTTATTCAAAGTCGGTAACAGCAGTAAGTCGTCTCCCCACGCCCCAACCTTCACCTGAATTGCTTCACCCCACCGTAAATATACAGTAAACCATAGAGAGCCCATGATCAAACCGAGGAGAAGTTTATCACTTAGCTAGACCTTATGAATTCCGTTGGTTCGGGATAAATCACACATGTACTGTTTCCTCTTATTAAACAGTACTGATGGGAAATCTTGTTTCCTTGCGGTCCGAGTTCCTCACGCATATCTCACTGGGCAGTCATCAAGAACTTAGATGCTACCTGCAAACCGATCTTTTTATTCGCTATATTGTGGCGTATATTGGAATTTTCCGGACAAAGGGCAGTCTCAGCTGCCCAACGCTGAACACGCTGCATCACAGTGTGTGGTTATTAATATTAACGTTTGGTTCTTTAGCCAGTCTGTGATTTTGAATATTAGCACAGGTGACTTGATACTGTTATTAGTTAACTGTGTTGATGCAAATTAATTCACAAGTTATGTTTTGTTGAGCAATCAGTTGAAATCACTTAAATTTTACGCCCAAATGTTCTCATATCCTTGCGTAGATATCGACAAAAACAGGCTTGTGGTGAAAAAGGCTACTTATTCAGTACAATTTGTATAAAGGAATAAATTGGTCCATGGACGGTTACTTAGGAAACTTCAAAACTATCCTCACCCCTGTAGGGAGAAACTGTAAACTGTTGAATTTACCACCAGCTGACGAAACATGTACAATCGAAAAGCCATTTGTCTTTACATCTGGTTTGCATGCGTAAAACGCGAAGGAATTTGCCCAGTTGTTGGACGACTTTCGAGCCATTTGGTCTTAAAATAACAGCCGCCGTTGTTTATATTCAGTTTCATTTAAAACAGGTTGATATACTATTTGATCGTTGCTGGGTAAATTTCAGTTGAATGTAAGGCCCATTCCACCTATAGACGACATGCTGATGACGAAAAATGGAACCGTTAACGTTGTTAGCAGTTGACCTGAACAAGTTTAAGTCAACTGAACAGGTAGTGAATGAATTCTCTTCAATATTGATTCTATTTAAAAGTTCCAGGGAGTAGTTGATGATGTAACACTGAAGAAAAAGTAAGAAATAAAGTTGAATTATAGTCCTCAATTGGTTATCATGATTACATGATTGGTTATCATGATTACATGATTCGTCAACTTTCTCGGGGATGTTGAGTCTTTTTAAGAGTGAAAGAGTTATGGCAAACTCCAAACTTGCAAACTCAAATTCCAGTTTCAACGGTTTTACGCCAAATTTTCTCAAAAAGCACGTCTTCGCGCTCGTTGGTCGGATTTGGGTAGCTGAAGCGTTCGAGGTTTAGATAAAGGTGCTGTCGGTTAAAATTATTTTATGGCTAACCACGTGCACGTAGCTGAGCCAGTTTTTTTCATTCACTTTTTATCACAAAATCACTCAGTTGAAAGGTTCCGCACTTCACCTCACTGCAATTGTTGTCCAGTTTGTGGAAACTATTTTAAGATTCTTGAAACGATGCCGAACAAACAACTTTGCACGGCGTGTGTCTACTACCGTGAAGTTCCGAAAGAAGCCGTCCTCGTCTCTTCAGTTGGGATTTAGCATTTTTTCCTTGGCACACTTCTGTCCGAATGTTGTTCCTTTCGCCTGATTCTTGCCTACGTGGGTAGCTGGAAAGTATGTATACCGCGTACGGCCGATCCAGCACCCTATCGTCGCGTCAAAAGTGGAAAAATGAAACAGGAAACATGTGACAACCCGGAACACACAATAAACTACCGTAATGATTCGATTTAGTGCCTTCCTTCCAATAAACACCCCCTTTCGAATAAGCGCCCCCCTTCGAATGTATTTTTATTAATAACCGCCCTTATTCCAATACGTGCCCCCTTTCGAATAAGCGTCCCTCTTCGAATGTGTTTTTATTAATAAGTGCCCCTATTCTAATATTGTAATATTACAGCGCCGTCAGAGTACCTATCAACGGAGGTTCATACCGTTTTAAAATTTTGTTTTGAACATTCGGTAGTCTCTCAGAATAGAAATAAGCGCCCTGTCCCGATTAAGCGCTCTGTCTCGAATAAGCGCCCTCTTTTGAGGTACCAAAAGCAAATAAGCGCTCCGTGCACTAAATCGAATCATTACGGTAATTACTTCGACATAAGCTCTTCTGCAGCTTCTGTAATTGTTGCGGCTTTTTGTCATTTTACCTGTGAGTGTGAACATATCGTGATTTAGAGACAACGAGGATAAATAGTGCGCAAAAAGAATTAACATCAGAACAGAGTGAAGTACTCTTCTTAATTCGTGTCTTTTATTCCCGACTGCTATTTCCTAGTAAAATTAGGTTTGAAGTCGCTACTGTCTTAAACACCGCCGCAATTTTGTGTTATCACTGCGGTAGTTTTGTTGTTTTTATAAAAATTCACCGTGTTAAAATTTCAGTATCGATCCTTATTAACGTCCACAGCCTATACACCAAGACTCTAAAAGGGGAGTAAAGAAACTACACGTGTATATGCACTCCAGAAGTTTTATTTTCGCTTTATGGTTCCAACATTTCCTATGACTATCCAACAATTACTAAGTACCTTGAGTGATGTACGAAGGACATCACGTGATTTAAGTAATCGTCTGGGTTTAGGGTTTTTCCTTACTTGGAGCACGACAAGAGTTAAGGTTACTTAGGCTAAATGTCGGGATAGGCCATCACATGGAAGACCCAGTCCTTAAGAACTGCCACTCGTGCGTACACCCCATAATAATTTGGCTCGGCGCAGCTGTAGCCCCAGCTGGTGTCACCCATAAGGTACCATTTGCCATTGTCTTCACACACCAAGGGCCCACCGGAGTCCCCCTGGCAAGCATCCTTACCGCCCTGTGGAAACCCCGCACACAACATCTCGTGCGTAATTTTGCTCGCTTCATAGGAGCCATTCTTGGTGCATTCCTGGTTCGATACCAGAGGAACCATTGCCTGTTGTAGTTCATCAGGTGATTCACCTCCCGGTTTTAGTGTACCCCAGCCGGTTATCCAGCAATCAGATCCGGGGGGAAACCCTATCTGGTCGTCAGGTAGGCACACAAGCGCTACGCCATCCTGAAGTACTGCGGGACGGTCGAGATGGATGAGTGCAATGTCGTTGTTGTAACGTGTCGCACTGTTGTATTCGTGATGGAAGTAGATCCTCCTAATATCAAAGTCTTGTTCTGAACCAATTAGGTGTGAGGTGTTTTTGTAATGTCCACCCATCCTATTAGAGTCACCGAACAGAAATCGCTTACGTTTACCTAGATTGTCCTTAACTCTCGTTCCTTATTTTTCCTTCATTAGAACAACATCTTAATTTGACAAGCTATTCCTGAGCTTATTTAACTTCAAGTTTTGAAGAGACTTTGAGGGGTTATATCAAGCTATCCCTTCACCAGGATTGCAAATAGACTTTCTAGTGTAGATTCTGCAAATTTTCTTCTGCTGACAGCAGTTCCTTCACTGATGTATTGAAGTAGAAAATAGGTGCTGTCTCTGTACTAACTAGGCTCTAGCGTTACATAGGGGAAGAGGCTATTGTACCCATGAAGGCTAACAAAAGAAAAGGGGCTTGTTATTGTAATGATGGGCCTTTAACCTGGATAGCAGACTGGGAAAATGATACCACAAAACTAACTCTTTGTTGATTAATTTATATTTTCATGTTAACGTTCCAATACCTGACCCTGTGAGTGACGTAATCTTCTTTCCTAATATCCACTACACAGTGTGCAGCGGTCAGTACCCACTCAAAATGTACCAGTGATCCCCCACAAAACTGACGCCACTCGCCATTGTCTCTCTGATACATGAGCATCGCCTGCCATGGCCAGGATTTGGGTGTGGCGGTGCTGCCTCCGACAATGCGTGTGTGAGTCTTACTTCCACAAGACCCAACAACTACAGAAATTAAACTATCGATAATTAACGATGATTGGACGAGGTTGAGCAAAATATCGTGATTTGTCAGTGGCGAGCAGAACACTTATTTCCCGAAGCCGAAGTCTGAGGCAAATAATTGATCGGCAAGACACTGACAATTCGCGATATTTTACGATAACCGAGTTCAATAATTGTTTTATCATTCGATCACCAAGTATGTTTTTCTATTTAAATCCCTCTCTGCCAGCTCAGGGAAGCAATCTGCAATTTTCACACAAGAGCCTGCTTACAATTACCCATGAGCAGAATATTATATTTAGATGATATTACGTATGAGCAGACCAATATTTGTACGCAGTTATTTGCAGGTCACGTGGTGTGCTCTCGGCCGATGAAAAGGACGAAAAAATACATCGGATGATAACGTGACATATCTGGAACTTTTACACATTCTTTCTCCATAAAATTTTGATTCTTCACGCTGATTATATATATGTTATTTGCCGGCATAGGGTCGGTCCGTATAGTGAAAAACTGTGACCGAGGTTTTGAAAATGCTGCCCTCGGCCTGTGGCCTCGGGCAGCATTTTCAAGCTCGAGGTCACAGATTTTCACTATACGGACCGACCCTATGCCGGCAAAT